GAGGCAGATTAGTTGATTTTAATGACTACCGGTGGGATTGTCGAAAGCCAAAAAGAATACTTCAGCTGTTATGGCATTCTCGACGATGTTGTGAGCAATAATAGTCCTCAGTTCATGAGTGAAGAATTCAATGGCTTCAATGAAAAATTCAGAAATTCAGCATCATTCACCATTTCAAGACTATACCCAAAAAAAGGAAAGGCTGAGGCAGCAGTGAAAATTGTCAAAGGAATCATGGAGAAACTAAGCAAATCCTGCACAAATATATACAAGGCAATCTTTGATCAGAGAAACATACCTGTTGAGGCATGGAAAGTAGTCCAGTACAAGGTCCAGTACTACTGACACACCACACACAGAAAAAGTAACAGGTCTGAGTGAAAATACTAAGGTGAAACATCAGAAAGCTGCTAAACGATTACCAGAGCTGAGTGTTAGAGAAAAGTCAGGATACAAACATTCAACGCTGTCAATAAACGCAAACCCAAGAGGCAACTTGGGACTTGTATGGAGTAATTGTCACCTCCATCAAATGTCGTGTAAGTTGACAACCAGATGCACTTTCACAACTACAGCACATGTGACCGACTGTCAAAGCTGCTTCTCCATTGTTGGTGGCTGATCTTGAAAAGGCAAGTGCACCACCCACCCAGACCATACATTAACTGGTGTCACCCAGAGCTCCACAGCAACCCAAAAACTCAAATAGAACAGCAATGGCAACCACAGTAAATGACGCATGGACCACATTTCTTGGTGAAACAGTATCACCAGATGAACACACATACATATGACAAAGTGACCAGCACAATTTAAGGACTATGTGTGCAATGCATATGCAGCAACTGCAGCAATAATGTACAGCTAAAGCATGAAAACAATAACGTATATAGTTGGCAATTTGGTAATGAATAACGTATGTGATAATGCATGCCTTTTCTTCATTTTTCCTTTTGTATCAAAAGGGGGATGTTTGGATTGAAGTACAATTATGTAGAAATGTCTGCCCTAGTTTGCAATAGTCCTGTGACCGCTACCATAAATATCTACCTGTAGGCAGACACCTTAAGCTTCAATTTAACAACATCCTGGTGTTGAACATGGCTGTGTCATCTACTTGAAACAGAAACCTTCTACATGTCCACACTGCAGCAAAAATTAATAGAAGTCAAGCAAGTAATAATCTTAACGTATTAGATCATACCTTGAACTTGTATTGGCAATTTGCAGCATCAATATCAAAACCTTTCTACTTCTAAATTGTAATTAGGTTTAGACAAGATATTAGCGGGATTATTGATCTTAACCATGGCAACACTAGCATAAAACCAGCATTAAGTTTGGACTGATATCACAACCTGTCTCTTCTGCATACTTTCAACAGATACTCATGTCAACACCCTTATCCCTTTACCTCTAGTGTGCCTAACACGTAGTGTGCCTCTACAGCATGAATGAGGTTTTGGAAGCAAAATGGCATGTTTAGCACCGATAAAAAATTTAAGGATCTGGATTTTGAGACCCTCTTTCCTTTATCTTGGTTTTTCCTTCTAATAATAAGTTGATTTGATCATCTTCTTCTTATTGTATTTATTTATTTATCTGTTAACAGGATGTGACATTATTGCCTGGGCCTGCATTTATTGCCCATCTTAATTGCCCTTGAGCAGGTGGTGCTGTGAGCTACATTCTTGAATCATTGGGTGTCCATGTACACCAATGATGCTGCAAGTTCCAGAATGTTGAACATGTAATAGTGAAGGAATGGCAAGTCAGGATGGTGTGTGACTTGGAGAGGGGTTTGCTGGTGGTTATGTCCCTTTGTTTCTTCTGTCCTTATCCTTCTAGGTGATAGAGGTTGTAGGTTTGGAAGGCACTCCTAGAAAAGACTTAATGAGTTTCTGCAGTGCATTTTATAGATGGTATACACTGCCGCTACTAAGTATCATTGGTGGATGGAGTAAGTATTTAATGTGGCAGATGGAGTACAAATCAAATAGGCTGTTTTGTCCTAGACGGTGACTTTTTTCTTGACTGTTGTTGGAACTACGCTCATCCATGCAAGCCATAACACACCTGACCTGGGCATTACGGATGGAGGATAGGCTTTGGGAATTCAGAAGGTGAATTATTCGTTGCAGAGTTATCAACTTCCAAACTAACCTTGTCATCGTATTTAAATGGCTAGTTCAGTTCAGTTTCTGGACAATGGTGACCTCAGGATATGAATGAGGAGCGTTGGAGGGGATTGAAGGATATTTGGTGATGTTGATGCCTTTGAATGTCAAGGCATTATAGATAATAAAAAAAACGTGGATGCAGGAAATCAGAAACAAAAACAGAAACAGCTGAGAAAACTCAGCAGGTCTGGCAACATCTGTGGAGAGAAAGAAGAGTTAACATTTCGGGTCCAGTGACCCTTCTTCAGAACTGATCGTAGCTAGGGTATATATGCTGAAAATAGGGTGGGGTGGTTGGGGGTGAGGAGTAAACAATATGTGCAAATGGAGCTGAGAGAGAGAGAATAATAGTTGGACAGACAAAGGAATGGGTAAAGGTCAGCCTGGGAGAATCAATGGCTGCTAATGGGGACCAATAGTGGCTGACAATGGGATGGTTGTGGTAGCAGTCCATGTGATGACAAGGCCTTGTGTGTGGGGATTGGGGTAAGGACACGGGATAAGGTGCTCAGGGTCTAAAATAATTAAACTTGATAGTGAGTCCCGAAGGTTGCTAGGTGCCCAAGCAGAAAGTAAAATGCTGTTCTTCCAGCTAACACTGAGATTTGCTGGAGCACTACAGCAAGCCTGAGACAGAAATGTCAGCAAGGGAGCACAGTGGTGTGTTGAAGTGGCAGGCAAATGGAAGCTCAGGGTCATTTTTACAGATAGAACGTAGGTGTTCTGCAAAGCGGTCTGCATTTCGTCTCCTTAAAGTAGAGGAGACCACATTGTGAGTAGCAAATTCAATAGACTAGATTGAGTGAAGTGCAGGTAGATTGCTGCTTCACCTGGAGGGAGGAAGTAAACGGGCAGGTGTTACACCTTCTGCAATGGCATGGGAAGATGTGGGGAGGGATTTAGATTGGAGGAGAAGAGGGAACGGTCCCTGTGGAAGGCTGGCAAGGGAGGGGAGGAGAATATATGTCTAATGGTGGCATCCCACTGCAGATGACGGAAATGGCAGCTAATGATCCTTTGGATTAGGATGCTGCTGAGGTGGTAAGTGAGGACTGGGTGCAGAGGGGTTGGTGGTGTAGAGATGTACCAGTGATGTTCTCCCTAGATTGTGCACCCATGTCTAATCCAGAAAGATTACCCTCTGAGGTGTCAGTCACTGAGCTGGTGGAGGGTGTGGTTAAAACCTTATTGGAATATCCTTGAGAGTTCAGCAGCTTCCTCCTCATGGCAGAGGTGGAAGTGGAGGTAAAGACCTCCAGTAAAGACCTGGCCTAATAACCAATTCCCTTGTGTAAAAGGGCTGAAAGCTTTTTCAAATTCAGAATGAGTTACCACTGACATTAATGGGAAAGCAGTATAGCGTAGCACAATGAAGCTCACTCATAGAGATCCCCATGTCCTTACAGGAATGGTCGTCCTCTTTTCCAGCAAATGCCAGCATTTTCTCCTCATGTGTGTTGAGCACGATGAAGTGGGTGAAGCTATCGAGAGGACATCCAGTATGCTATATTGAGAGTCGTAGTGCATGAAGCTTGGTGAGAGGTGTGTTCAATGGCACCATTAGATTGAGTGGCGGTGGCCCTGTGGGGTGTGAGGTAGCAGAGAAAATAATGGCTGCATTTACCTTCATGCAATGTAGAGTTCATTCACCTTATTCTTACATTGCTGGGAATCTGTGTTGACTCGGCTACACTCTTGTTGACTGCATCTGGTAGCAGGCCATCCTTTGCCAGTCAGCAGGAAAAGCATTGTCCTTCTTTCAATCACCTCATCTCCAGGTCCCTGTTGCCAAAGTGAGGATCTAACCTCCCTTTCTGAGCCATGTCCTTCAGGATAACAGGTCCAGAGTATTAAAGGCAGTTCCTGCCTTGCAATGCCTGAAATTTGGTGGAGCTGGTGTTTACATATGGTGCCAGAGTGTGAATACCTAGCAGCAGCAAACATTTCCTCAACTCATGTCACATGATTCCATGAATGGGCACAATAGAGGTCATTGTATCATTAATGAGCTGAAGAATAGGCGATTGTGTGAGAAAACTTGGCATGGCCTGTGGTGGATGGCCCACTCTGAAACACACCAAAAAAAGCACTTTGCCAACAAACAAGAAAACACAGCTCTCCATACATAGGTAGCTTTTTCCATACTCAAATTCCTCCCTCAGTTTTAATTAATCATTCTTTTCTGGTTTGTATGATCTATCCAATCCTTTGACCATCCACAGAAACATTCTTTTTACAAAGTCTTTCTTTCTCAATGGAATACATTACTTTCTTTTCTATTTTAAATTACTCTTACCATTTTGTCAGAAATGTTTGAAGGTCATGAAGCATTTAAAATTCAAATGCCAAACTGGTGAGACAAAAATCAGAAGTTGCTGGAAAAGCTCAGCAGATCTGGTAGCATCTGTGAAGAGTAATCAGAGTTAAAGTTTTGAGTCCAGTGACCCTTCCTCAGAACAGTTCTGAGGAAGGGTCAATTGGACCCAAAATATTAACTCTGATTTTGCTTCTGGTTAAAGCAGTGTTGTTCTCACCACTGATATTCTCTATCCAATTTACAAACCTAACATTGTACAGATGTTTAACTTAATCGTTCTTAAATTGAATTATTGTTGTATACTTATTAGAACAGATATCTAGTTAATATATTCTATCATTGTGCTTTGGCAAGACTGTAACCTTGGCTTCTTTAGAGCAACGATAAATAAACTTTGTGATTACAAAATTTTAGAATAGCAAACATTGAAATTCTTATGCAATATCCTGTTTTCTAGCTTTATATTTAAACTGTGGCACGTCCAAAATATCATATCTGGTTTGTGACAAATTGTCCCTCCTTTACTCTGAGTTCTTTAAAACAGGTAAGCGATTTGGTTTTCATTTGAATTTATCTTAAAAAAAAGTTCTTTCATTGACCTGATTTGTATTTAATTTGCCAAAAAATGCTTACTTTAAATTTTCACATTCTACCCAAGCAATTTTATTTTTTTAAAATGTAAAACCGATATAGACATACTTAATCAAAATACTGTGTGTAATGTTACTAAATTCTTAACCATAACCTTAATCCCTAACCTAAATTATTAATTATTTTTCTTCTGATTTTTGACATTCCGCTGAAAATATTTGTTCTTTGTTGGAATATGTGTGGTTATGATTGGTGGGGATACTACATCTGATTCTAGTATTGTACATCCTTGAAGTGAAGGTCACCAGATAGTTAGCTATTCCCTGCTCCCCTAATCCAGGTTTACTCGGACTAATTACAGGATCTTCTGATGCTCCTATCACTAAGCTAAATGAGATTGCCTAATTTCACAGAGACTATGAGTCAAAGCATGTGTAACTGCTTTCAAATTAACATAATTTAAATTGATTTTATATATACCCCTATATTACAAGCCCCTGATTGGAACTAGTGTACTGAGTCACTCCATTCGTACTGAGTTATTCAGATAGAGCAGTGTTATTCTCTGGTCTACTCACCAGAATCCAATGTGCTGAATTTTAACGGTGGCTATTTCTGCAGAACAGAACCTGTTATGAAATGACTGACAGGGTAGTGGATTTATTATCGGAGGGTTGACAGAAAAGTCAGTCTGTGCTAACATTCAAAAAAATCGAAACAGCTTTAAAAGGTTGGTAGGTGTTGACATTTAAGCTTTGCTTTGCACCAACTGCAGTTATACTAGAGCATTAGTGAATCTGCAGCAATGTAAACTTAATGGTAAATTACACTGCACATTTTGCTAAATCAATGTTAGAATGACCTGGTTTAGTTAAAACTGTGTGCTATAACGTATTAGCTGGGAAAAAGACTCCCACTGTCCACCCTATCCATGCCTGTCATAATTTTCCAATATTTTACACAATCCACAGCTTCACCAATTTCTGTGTCATCTGCAAACTTACTAATCAGACCACCTACACTGTCAACCAAATCCTTTATATATATTACAAGCAACAGAGATCCCAGCACTGATCCTTGTGGAACACCACCAGTCACAGACCTCCAGCCAGAAAAACACCCCTCCATAACTACCCTCTGTCATCTATGACCATGCCAATTTTGTATCCAACTTACCGACTCACCATGGATCCCATGTGACTCAATCTTCTAAACCAGCCTACCAATAAGGATTTTGTCAAATACTTTAGTAAAGTCCATGTGGACAACATCCACTGCCCTACTCTGATAAATCATCTTTTGTCACTCCCTTAAAAAACTCAATCAAATTTCAGACAAGACATCCCTGCACAAAGCCATGCTGACTATTCCTAATAAGTCCATTCTTTATGTGAGTAGATCCTAAACATAAGAATCTTCTCCAATAATTGTCCTACCATTAACGTAAAACTCACTCGGTTACAATTTCCTGGATTGTCCTTGTTGCCCTTCTAAACAAAGGAACAACATTGGCTGTTCTTCAGCCTTCTGGGACCTCTCCTGTGGCTAAAGAGGATACAGTCACCTCCCTTGCCTCCTTCAGTATCCTAGGATAGATCCCATCAAGCCCTGGGGCCTTGTTTACCTTAATATTTTTAAGGTACCAAATACCTCCTCCTTCTTAATATTGGTGTGCCCCAGAATATTAACAAACCTCTCCCTAATTTTATCATCATTCATGTCTTCCTCCTTGATGAATATCAATGTGAAGTAATTATTAAGAACCTCACCCACTTCCTCTGGCTCCATGCATAAATTCCCTTCTTTGTTCTTGCATTGACCTACCCTTTCCCTGGCTACCCTCTTGCTCCCAATGTACGTATAAAATGCCTTGAAATTGTCCTTAATCCTGCTTGCCAAGGGCATTTCATGACCCCCGTTAGGTCTCCTAATTTCTTGTTTAATTTCTTTCTTGTTTCCTTTATATTCCTCAAGGGCCTTGTCTAATTTTATTTTCAAATTAGCTCATCTTCCTGACAGTTGCCATCTAAATAGACAGAAAAAACCTCACGTCTGTTGGACAATTGCAAAGACTGAGTCTTCTGCACTCTTGCCCTTTAGATCTCTACCTGACTGACTCTCAGAGTTACACTCTCCTTTCCCTGACCACTGACCAAATTGGAAGAGCCAATAGTAAGAGCTGTAACTCGTTCCTTATACAGAATATCCAGGTAACCTATCCCATCCTTGATGTGGCACAGCGTCCGTATTTTAGTTTCCATCTGAAAACATCTGAGCCAATGCCACATGTGCTGTAGGCACTTTTTGCAAATGTATATGCCTTGGGTCACGTTGGCATCCGAGAGTGCCCACATGCTGCAGCAATGATACATCATCTGTCTTGCTATCCATAATGCATTTTTAAAATTAAGCATTTAATTAATGTGTTTAATTATTTGCTTCCCTTTTTATATATTTCATTAAACCTACTACCAGCTCCTGTACTATTTTTACACCTTAGGAATAGAATAAATCTTAACTGTTTAAACGATTGTCACCAAACAGCCAGCCTCTTCCCCTGTAGTGGAGTAAGAACCAATTCCAAACAGTCAGCTCTATGTCTCCAAGCTCTTGTTTCACTCTGTCTTCAAACTTAGGCTGACTGCCTCTTGGTCTCTTAACTCATGCTGACTGCTTTTTGGTTTTCTTGAACTTTAATTTTTTTTCCCCTCTGACTAACTTTGTATAACAGCTCTTCTAATCTCAAATTAAATGGCATAAGATTCACTTCTAATGTGTAGCTCTGCGTAGCAGCAGAAGTGCAGCAATGCACATTGCTTGTGCATTTTACAAGTTCTTCACACCCCGATCAATACTGGAATTTTTCTCTACAGTTATTGCAGTTTTAAACACTCATTCTATAATTCTAAACACTGAAATAAAAGCATGACTACCTTCCTTGTTTTGTAATTTTCGTAGGCATTTTATATCCTCTGAGATCTAGAAGCACACACTGCTGTGGGGATATGGAGGTGATGCCAAGTGTAAACACATATTTGATATTAATGAAGAAACCTCCCTCTGTGTCACAGGTTGTATCATGATTCAGTCTTTTACGCGATGCACATCACTCAGTTTCAGGAATGATGACTCGCTTGGTGGATAATGTCTGTGAGGTCAAATTTGGCCCACCTGCTCCATATCATCTATGAATGATTTAGAATAAATAGTACATCAAATTTACCATGAAAACGCAGTGCCAGATTTCACTGCTAATTGCCAGAAGTACTGGACAAACATCACTTAGCAGCAAATGAGCCCATTGCAGCATACGTTGAAAACACTATTTAAAGTAACCATGTTATCACGTAGAAACAATTACTCAGGGGTTAGAACACAATTCCTCTTTAAGGAAGTAGGAAAGAATCATTGAAGGGAAGTATATTGAGCTTTGAGCACCTTGACCCTAACCTATTTCTCAGGGATGGTGTCCAAGATCTATGACATGCTTCTGATATATAGCCCAAGAAAAAAATCTTCATGTTGCCACAAAGGATGCAAATACTGTAGTAGAAGAACCAACAAGTGACCTAAAAGGGAAAAGGTGATCTGAAGATTGGGACAGCTATTTTACTGAAGGCTGAAATAAGACCTTCACTGGTTATGTGTTGGGAACCAGATGGAAGGAAAGGAAGCAGTTATACCCATTCCTATATTCTGGAGAAATATCTCTAAGCTGTTAATGCTGCTTCCTCTCATCAGGTATTCCAAACCCTTAAATCATAGAAGTTGACCCCTATAGAAAAAAAAGAGTTAATAATAATCTATATTTATACATAATCAAACAGGCACTTAATAGTGCAAAACTTGAATATTTCTGAAAAGAAGCATGTTGTCAAAGCTTTCATCTTACTATCACCAAGACAAACTCAAGAATGCCCGATTTCAAACAAATTATCAAACAGGCCAGCTGCTCACTGCCCAATTTGTATCAATATTTGAAATTGGAATTGTAATCATTGCAATTTTGTTTTAATCCCTTGCTTGAATAACATCCAGCTTTTCTATACTCACTTATTACACAGTCCTACATTGTATATTTGCAGCACAGAAACAAGTCTATCCAGGACACAAATCTCCCCAGTCCTTAGCTCACCTGATTCCACCAACATTTCCTCCTACTCCTTTTTCTCTCACTTTTACTCAGCTATTCCATATGGCAGCCAATTTTACATTCTCACCTCTCTGAGCAAAAGAGCTTCATTTGAATTGAATTATAACTATTTTATAATGAATGCCTTTTAGTTTTGAACTAACCCTCAAGTGGAGATATTTTCTCATTTAAAAACAAAACATTAGGTTCCAAAAGTACTTCTGGGACATTCAACTCTCCCTTGCCCACATGTCTGTTGAACCCTTCAGTTCTATTGCTTGCCTGACATCCAGTGCTGGAACAGCAGAAATTACCTCCAGTTAAATATTTGAAACACTGAAGCAGATGTCTTTAATTCACAATCTGTGAATGTGAGCTATCCATTGGCAACAATCTGAAATTGGACTATTTGCAATGTTGGCATCGTGTCTGAGTTAAGCTTCTGACTTCTTATCACTTCATAACCAAGACTGCCTACTTCCACATGCACAATATCATCCAACTCTATGACTGACTTAGCTGAGCTATTGCTTAAAATTTTAATCCATACCTTTGTTGCTGCTAAAATTCATTATTCCACCATGCTCCTGGCTGTCCTCCCAACTTTCACCTATTCCATTCACCCAAGTTCCATTCACACTTCTCTTCATTGACTTACATTGGCTTCTAGTTCAGCAACAGCTTAATATTAAACGTCTGATTCTTGTTTTTTGGTATCCCTCAAGGTCTTGTCCCTACCTATCTCTGAAATCTCCCCAGCCTTACAACTCATTGGGATCTCTTTACTTCTCGAAGCCTCTTGCTTATTCCCAATTTTAATC